GTAGTGAAAGACTATGCCTATGAGATCTTGTATCATCTCATCAAGGTTAATGTGGTAGCCAATGCCCCATTCCATAGAGCAAGGAGTGCTCTGATCCGAGATGTATGTATGAGGATGACTGTGATGAACCCAGTCTTAGATACCATTCGAGAGACCCAGGTGGAGGTCGTGATCTCGAAGAACCGCAAGAGGGAGCGGGTGATTGGGAAGGTTTTCGAGTTTGACACGGATAGTTAGGGGCTTATGACTTTCGGTGGATGGATTTGGGTGCCCTATACAGGTGGAGCTCGTCACATATTGATGGAGGAGGCACATATATCGATATTCTCGGTCCACTCGAGGGACACTAAGATGTATTTGGATCTGAAGAGAGATTACTGGTTGGCATGTATGAAGAGGGAAGTGGCATGCGTGGTTGAGAGGTGCTTGGCATGTCATCGGGTTAAGGCAGAGCACCAGCGTCCACATGACTCGTTACAGACTCTAGAGATTCACTAGTGGAAATAGGAACAGATTTCTATGAATTTCATCACCAAGTTACCAAGGATTGCACGTGAGGTTGACGTGATATGGGTGATTGTAGATAGGTTGAGGAAGAGTGCTCACTTCCTCGCTATCAGTGAGATCTCTTCTGCAAAGAAACTAGCCGAGATTTATGTGAGAGAGGTGGTAGCCCAGCATGGAGTTCCGACCTCGATAGTGCCAGATCGAGATGTATGCTTTACTTCCAGGTTATGGAAGAGATTTCATGAGGATTTGGGTACCCAGTTGCATTTCAGTACCACATACCACCCGCAGACAGACGAGCAGAGTGAGTAGACGATTCAGACTCTTGAGGACAAGCTATTTGAATGTGTTATGGACTTCGGAGAAAGTTGGTACACCTATTTTCTCTTAGATGAGTTTTCTTTCAACAACAACCACTACTCCAATATTAGTATGCCTCCTTTTGGGCTCTTATATAGGAGGAGGTGTAGGACTCCCATCTGTTGGGGTGATGTAGAGCAGCGAGTGATGGGTGGCACAAAGATAGTGCAAAAGACAACCGAGCAGATTTGGCAGGTCGTATAGAGGTTACTGACAACCCAGAGTCGCCAGAAGAGTTAGGCATACCAACAACGATCCGAGCTAGAGTTCCAGGTCAGAGATTTTGTCCTCCTGAATGTATACCCATTGAAAGGGGTGATCCAATTCAGGAAACGAGACAAGTGGGGCCCAATATACATTGGTCCTTTCAGAGTAACCAACCGGTTGGAGTTACCTGCAGAGTTGAGCTAGATTCATAACACCTTCCACGTGTCTCAGTTGAGGAAGTTTCTAGCTGATGAGACGGCGGTGGTACCATTAGATGACATTCAGGTGGATGCAAGCCTGAATTATATTCAGAGGCCAATAGCCAACTTGGATCGAAAAGTAAAGGTTTTAAGGAATAAAGAGGTTCCCCTGGTTCAGGTCCAGTGGAAACATCGGCAAGGATCCGAGTAGACTTGAGAGTCGGTGTCCGAGATGCACAAACAATATCCAGAGTTATTTCTGAAGCATGACTTCCAGGACGAATTCTGATTCTAGGCGGGGAGAATAGTAAAATCCCAACTCCCAGGTATAATATTTATATATTTGTTTCCGAGTTAATTGAGTAACTCGATGAGTGGGTGTCCTAACTGTTCGAGTAGAGTTTTGGACACGTAGGTTTTACAACCAACTCAGCGGGTCAGAGAGACCAACTCGGCGAGTTGGCGCTGTGAGTGGAAACCCTAATATTCTGGGTTTGTGTTCTACTTAAAGGGCCTTAAGCCCTCATTTCCGCCTCCCTTATCACCCCACCACTCTGTGAAGAACCCTAATCAAGTCTTAGCCTTTTGTGTGCAAAAGAGAAGCTAACCTTGTGATTTTAGTGCACTTTTGGAGGAGAAGTTGAGATCATCAAAGCTTGGATTGAGAGGAGACTTTGGATCTAGAGATTCTTAAGGGATATCCTTCAGTTGGAAATAAAAATATTCTAACTTGATCATTTCTTACTGAGATCTTGGGTTAGGGAGTTTTTAGGGTTTTCTCCCATCCATCATTCCACAATGAGTTATTTAAGCATAATATCATGATGTTGAAACCTCAGATATAGACTGTAGGAGGATTTGAGAGCCAAAAGATCCAATCTTTATTGAGCTAGAGACTAGCATTTGTGCATCTAACCCTTGTTGGACTTTGTATTGCCATTATGAGCCTAATATGCCATGCATGAATGTAAAAGTTCGCAGCTTTACATGACATTTGAGCCTTGGGAGGCTAGATTTAGAGTTTGGGGTTGTGGATATACCTTAAAATGTATGAATGAGAAAATAGACTGAATGGATTCGCCGAGTCAATGAGATGACTCGATGAGTCGACTAGGGTTTTCCCCGATGAGTCTGGACATGGTAAACTTGGCGAGTTGATGAGACAACTCGACGAGTTAAGTTGTATTTTGCAACATTTTCGAGGAAACGAGGGGACCTGATGAGTCACCTAGATGCACTCAGCGAGTCGGGTCAACCTGGACTGTTGACTTAAGTGTTGACTTCTATTGACTTTAGGTTTTGGTCAAGACAGGGATTATGAGGAGCATGGAGGGGTAAAATGGTCTTTTACCCATTTCAAGAGTTTAAGAGCAAATGACAAAACTGCAAATTTGGTCCTTGTGGTTAGAAAAAAAAATGTGGATAGAGTCCAAAATCTTTTTGACTTGCACCATTGGTCCAAAATCAGAAACTTTCTGTGGTTTTGGTCCATGGAAAAGTTGAAAGGACAATTTTGCCCTTTTAATTTATTTTTCACATTATTTTAATATTTACCGAATATTTATAAAATAAAGAAATAAAAGTATCTATCTCTTTCATTCTCTCTCTCTCTCTCTCTCATTGTCTTCTTCATTCTTTATTTCTCCCTCGTCCCCTGTAACTAAAACCCAAAACATACTTCACACACTTGCTTTCACCAGACCCTCTTGTTTCCACCTCCCTTTATCTCCCACCCATTTCAATATCGTACCAACCACCTCTCTTGATTTTCTCTTATCGCTTCCATTGTTCTCTCACCTCTATAATTCAAAATTGTACCACTACGTCTTCAAAGATTCGTTTTGAACTTTCTTTTCCCCAACTTTTTATTCTCAATGCAAAAGTGAGTAAAAAATAATTCACATTTAGGTTCGATCAATGGTATCAAATTGAAGTCATAACATATATATGAAACGAGGAAAAAAGTGGTCTGACCTAACTACATACCAAGAGAGAAGTTCCAACGAACAATTGGAACCAACTTCTTCCATTTGTTCTTCCTCAAGACACAAAACAATTCCAACAGCCATTGACGAGTTGGGGAGCTACGGAGAATCCAAGTTGTTGCCACTGAGTGTTTCAAACCCTTAAACTATTTTTAGATGCATCTAGATTTTACCACAAGGCCATTGGTTGAGTTTCAAGGCATTTGGACATGTTTAAAGGCTCTTAATCCCCATTTAAGAGGAGTTTACGGCCCAAGAAGGTGCCTTGGCCGTAAAATCTTGTTTGTCCCCCAAAATTCATGTTTAATATGTTCCAAGTCCAGATTAGCAAGTCTTAAGGTCATATCTAAGTCCCAACTATGATTTGGAAGGGTAATTTGGCTCAAAAACCCCATTTTTAGGAGTTTACGGCCCAAGCTTGATCCTTGGCCGTAAACTCATCTTCTTGGTCCCAAAACATAATTTAAACAACAATCTGAAGGCTAAAGAGGTTGAATAACAAGTTAGGGGTGTTACCTCTTTGATTGGAAGCCTTAAATCTTTGTTTTGGACCTTTGATTATGGATGAGGAGAGAGGTTGTGAGAGTTCTATAAGAAATGGACAAAGGCTTCAAATGGAGGCTTAAGACACATTTTATAGTGTCTAAGTTTTGGACACGGTGGAATTCTACCCGATACCGGCGTTAGACCAGGCTTTTGGTCGTATCCGATTAGGTTGCCGTAACCCGATACGGCAAATTCTAGAAATATTCCGATCACTATAGTTGGGTGTTAAAATGATTTCTAAATGTATTAAGACACCCATTAAGTCATTATAAATATGTACCAGTTAATGACTTAATTAAACGGAAGATCGGAAATCGAATTTGGAAACGACGATTGGTTACGCGAATTGTACTACGAAAGAGTTACAAGAAATGATACGGAAATTTCGGGTTGTTACAAGATGCGATCATGTTACTAGAAGTGGTTCGGCGTATAAGAAATAGTAAGGAGTGATTTCGAGGACGAAATCTGATTTAAGTGGGGGAGAGTTGTAACACCCTGTTTATTTATTAGATAAATAAATAAATTAATGAATGAATAAAAGCCCTAAAATAAATAATTATATGGCAAGTTGTTGGTTTCGAGAGCCAAACGATATAATTTAGACTTTCGAGGGTTAAAAGGGTAATTACAGGACTTATGTTGAATAGATTTTTGGGGGCTTAGGGGCTGAATGGTAATTTATGGGCCTTAATTGAGAAGAATGAGAGGAAGAGGAACTGAAATTGTTAATATGGTTGAAGTTTGGAGATTGGACGGGAGTTTATAACCAGTGACCTTACGACTCTCAAACGCCAATCCTAAATGAAAGTTGCAGCCGTCATCTCCGTATCTATGCTACTCTCACCGGTGCCACCGTCCCCTTCATAGACACCACTACGAAACGCCGTATCACCCTCAGCCTATCGAGTATGTGCATCACCTGAAGGTCGTGTCGGTAGTAGACGACTGGAACTGATGCTATCCTTCCTCCGCTATCGCAATGCCGCCATGCCATTCTTCCGATCAACAAAGGCAACCAGCAACCTCAACACTGCCACCGCAGCCTCCGTGATGCCATGGTGAGCCGCCGATAGTGTGACCTCAGCGACTAAAGTGGAGACCAAGACATCGGTTGTTGTTGTTGTTCTAAATCACTGCCCTTCTCCTATTTGTTATGCCGATCTAAGCGCCGTTGTTGCCGGATGTTACTCCAATGTCGTCACTGCCATATGATTATCATTGCAAGAAGCCGCTACTGCCCGACATCTCGTGCCACCGCCACCCCAACGGCTATTCCCTTCTGTTTCTGGCCTCCATTCGATGCACGTCACCAGGCGGGGGCTTGTTCAAGCTAGAGTGTGAAGCTGTTGCTGATTATGTAGGTTGGATGGGCGTGATAGTCTAGTTGGAGATTGAGAGAAAACCCACCATGGCCACCGACCATGGTGGTTGTTGCCTTGAAACCACTTTTCTGCCACCACAAGCCACCGCAAGGTGGTGTCTGTGTGTGTGGATCCTCGCATGAGTATGTCTTTGAAGTCGTTTGTGAAGTATAGGGCCGGAAAACACAAAAGAAACCCCCCATGGGTGGTGGTTGCCGCCATGTGCCACCACCGCCACCACAAGGTGGCTGTGTGTGTGTGTGTGATTAGTTTGTTTAGTGTGTTTATTTTGGGATTAGAGTTTGTAAAATCTAATCATAAAATGGAATAATGAAAGGAAATTCCACCACCTTAGGGTGGTGGCTGCCGCCTCCTACCGCCACCGGCCGCCGTGTCGGGTGGCGGTGTGCTTGTCTTGTGAGTTGACTCGATTGGGGATGCTCGAAACCCTAATGGGCCTTGTTAGCCTAATGGGCCCAATGAAGCCAAATTGGCTTAGTGAAAACCCTAATGAGTCTAATGGACTCTAATCGACCCAATAAAACCCAAATGGGCTTGATAGGCCTAATAAAGCCCTAAATAATCTAAAAGTCCAACAAATTAATAAATGGGCTAGTATTTAGGTTGGAAAACCTTAATGCAATCAAAACCTTAATTTTGGGAAATTAATTGGGACACACAGGAATTATTTAATAACTTGGGTTTATTGTTGGGCCTTCTATTGGGCCTTGATGATTGGGTTATTAAATGGGCTATCCAAGATCAAGCAGATGGTCTAGAATAATTTAATGGGCCTAGGGTAAGTCCCATGTAATTGGTTGGGCCCAATTTGGAAAATTGGGCCATGTGTTGGGCTTTGATTCCTAGTTGACTTTGGGCCTATGGATTGGGCCTTGGGCTTGAATAAGCCAAGCTAGGGGTAATGTAGTAATTACCCAAAGAATGTACTTATGGTTATGTATTAGGACCCAATTATTAATTGGATGTTATTTTGGTGTTGACAGTTCGGGAATCTGTTAGCCAGAAGCTGGGGTCGAGTCTGCGGGACTTCAGCAAGTGTGGGATTGTGTCTTCGGGACTTGAGCAGTGTGAGGTGAGTTACCTTCCAGTAGCGGCGGGTCTATAGCCACAATGTCGGCCCACCAGTAAGAGTTGTATGTTAGATGATTGTCTTTGTGATATCATCTAGGTTTGCTAATACCTGATACGTTATATGTTCGCATGATATGTTATATGTGATAGTAGTAGAGTTCGGTTGTTAGGACCGAAGGGTAGGTCAGACACCCCAGATATGTCTGACAGTATGTGATTATATGTTATATGCTGGCATGATATGTTATATGTGATAGTGGTAGTAGGAGGGGAATAGTCCCCAAGTTCGGTTGTTAGGACCGAAGGGTAGTTCGGACACCCTAGATATGTCTGATAGTATGTTTATGTTATGATATATGTGATAGTAGCAGTAGGGGGTGGAATAGTCCCCGGGGGTCGGTTGTTAGGACCGACGGGTAGGTCAGCACCCCAGAATGGCTTGACATGGGTAGGTCAGCGCCCCAGAATGGCTTGACATGGGTAGGTCAGCGCCCCAAAATGGCTTGACACGGGTAGGTCGGCACCCTAGAATGGTCGTACCGGGTAGGTCGGGCACCCTAGAATTGCCCGGCAATATGTATGTTATGTGATTGTATCATATGTGGTATGATGGGGGAACTCACTAAGCTTTATGCTTACGGTTTTTAGTTTTGGTTTCATGTACTTCGTGTTTAAAGGAAAGGAGTCGGATTGATCGCAACGCATCACACTATGGTTTTCCGCACAAGAGATCTTTGGGATTACACTCTGATATTGTTTTATGATAACATGTTTGATTATTTCTACTTTGGTTTTGACATGACATGATATTACAGATGTTTTATTACACTGTTGGTTTTAAAATGACGTAATTAAAAATGAAATTTTTGGGATGTTACAGTTATATTGACATGAGAACTTGTTTACCCTACATGCAGTTTGCAAACCACCTAACCCTATAAGAGGTGGCATACTCTTTTTCTTTCCATAGGTTTGAGTTAAAAAAAATCCAATCTCCTACTAAGTTTCTTTTTTCTCAATGAATGCACTTAAAAACTTTAATATGTATATTTTAGTTCGCAAACTTTTGTTCACTTGAGCAACAACCTATTTGGCTATTCTAATATCTTAAATTAAAAGTCAAACTTGAGCTTTGTGCCTCAAATTTGTTACTTTTTTGCAGCTTCTCACAACAATGGAACAATTTCAGAAGGACCATTGTTTGGTGGAGAAGTTTCCACTACTTTCCCACTTAGGTTGGAGGTTAGTTTTGTAATTTACCTTTCAGGTCTCCGTTTGTTTAACATTCATTCTTCACTCTATAAGAAAGTTCAAAAATTCAATTGTACGATGTGAACAATATTCATGAAGTTCCTAATCATCAACTTTGTTTCTTTCTTCCATGCTATTACAATTACATAATCGTTTCCAACTTCAGTTTAATCCCAAATTGATTGATAAATTGTGCATCTAATTATTATTTTCTTATTTGTTATTGGATATTTATTTGTTCAGGAGGTGTTTGTGGACCTTGCACATGATAAAAGTATGATATTTGAGCTTTTAGAATTGAATCATGATGTTGAAGACAATGGAAGTGGTACTTCATTTTTACAAGACCTTGCTAGAGAACAAGGCCTTTTTGAGGGTAATATTGTAATTTCCTTCCCCCAGTATTGATTAAATATCTTAAATACCTATTATTTATGTTAAAAAGAAACATAAATCTTTTGTTTTTATTTATCTGATTTAGGTGACTAAGCAGTCAACAGTGTTTGAGGCTCCTGAACTCCAATTCAGAAACTTGTCAGCTGTCATAACAACTGCTACCGCCAAAATGGTATAAAAAATAATATTTTTTTATTTTTCTCTTAATAAGCCCGTATATTCATAACTAATAATAGATGCTTACAGTTTTCGTCCTCCACCACTGCCTGTATTTAGATTGTTCTAATTTTTTGGTCTTTCTTCCGTTGCTTTCCAATTTCTGATCTCCATATGTTGTTAGAAGTTGTCGAACTCAGGTAAGGTCCCTCTTCTGCTATTGATTTAAATACTTGATCGATTGAAGCCTTAAATCAAAGTTGTTCTCCATTTGTGATTGTTACTCCTGGTCTGACATTGTTTTGTTGCTTAAGATGGCCCATCTGTTGCTCTACAAAAAGTGATGAAGTTGTTAACTTTGTCTTGATCCTACATATTTACAAAATATTAGATCTTTTGTGCTTATCATCTTTTTGATTTTTTTTTGAAGATGTTGCATCTAAAGAGGATTTCTTCCAAATTCATCCAGTAGGGCCCAATTATTACACCAACACCCCTTCTTCTACAGACACACAATTATATATATAACATGCTACTGATAACTATTGTTTTGTTGATAATGATATATCATAGGTGTATAATAGTGTGGCAAATTGTTGTGGGATCCCTAAATTGGCCAAGAAATTGAATAAAGTAAGAATTTTTACTAACTTCACTATATGGACTAATGTGTTAACATAGGTTTAATTGTTATTTTTTTTCCATCAGATTTTTGTACAACATATCTTGAAAATGCTTCTAGATTAGCATTCGGTCTAAATTATCTATTGCTTCCAAGGAGCATTCTAATTATGGACACCTTCCACAAAAAGTATGTATAATACACCTATTAATCTCATATTAAATTCCATTTTTGTCATATATTTTTGTACATACTGAATTTATTTTCTTTACAGCCTGATCAATGATCATTGGTTCTAAACATTCTTCTCAAGTACTCCAAAGGTAACAAGTATTATCACTCATATTATTACTATTATTCTCTTTATTCACATTCCCAATAATAATATTTAGAAAGATGTTCATATTCATTATAGCTTTTGTGTCAATAGTTGATGGAAGAAATGAAGAAAAGTTAACATCTGAGGTGTATGGTCGGGCAAGAATTCCTTATATCTTCCAATCAATATTTGTGAGCCGATTGGAAGTAAGTTATAATTATAAATTTAACACTTTGTATGCTAATTTTCATTATTATTTCTATAAAATTATATATATTTATATATTTCATATGTCAATTGTCACAGGAAGTAGATCCATTTGAGAGATAACTGATCAAGGCATCCGCACTGCAATCCACAATGCAACTGGTTCTAGATCCGCTTTATTCGTGCCCGAGGTTTTAATTATTTAATTAATTAATTAATATTAGTTATTTAAGCCTGTAATATATATATATATATATATATATATATATATATATATATATATATATATATATATGTTCCATTTCAAGTTTTGGTTCGAAGACAAATAACTTGGTTGTTGGATCCTTATCTTCAATATGCTAGCCCAACTCCTTCATATCTCCCTATCTCTTTATCTTTAACAGCCCCAATGTAAATGAATTGAAGTTTTGTTTTGTTTTCTTATTTTTACACCTAAATGACAAGTATACTTAGTTTTTTTACCATAATACCCTTGTACTTTTGAACAAACAAGAAATTTTGTGTAAGTTATGACGAATAACCTTAAATTTCTTATGTAGATGAAGGCGTTGAAGGATCTTGACTTTACATGTAGATGTGAGTATGCTATATAGTAATTGTGTGTCACTTTGTTTTTTTATGTATATATAATGGTGTTTTTTTGATTTTTTATAGATCAAGTAGACGAAAAGTTAACGCATCATAATCTCTTGGAAGAATCTAATTGACCATTATAAACAACCTCTTCAAGTATCATCCAGTGTTTATACTTACCTTATAATTCATGAATTATTGGTTAAAGTTTATAATTTATTAATTAATTAGTTAATATTTTTTTTATTTCTTTCTTTCTGCAGGTTTATTTTCGTAGATTGCTTCAATGGAACTCGTCTAATTGCATTTGTTTGGATATGGTAGATATCTTTGTTTTACAGGGTAAACAATTTTTCTCATTAGCAAAGTAATCTTAAAAAATATCCAAAAATTTTGGATCTTTGCTAATGAGATTGACCATTTTCTTAGAGAAAACAAGTTGCATTTGTTTTTTCCAACAAGTTGTTTTTCTTTTGATTTATTGTAAGATAAAATATGATGGTTAAATTGGGTTATATATTGAAATAATCAACCAACAAGACACACATATATTTTGATTTTTTTTATCAATCCCTTGATTTATTACTTTTACAACTATGACATTGATAAGGAAAAAAATTCAACTTAATTGCAATGTTACACATTTCTTTTATTTATATTATGTTTACCGGAAATCTTGGGAAGTAACGCAAGTACATTGTTATTTTCATATATTCTTCATTTATTTTATTATTACTAACTAACTTCATATGTGTTTGTTAGTGTTGCTTGCAAATGGCATTTGGTACAGCTTGAAATAAGGAAAAAGAAAAAAACAAACAAACACAGCGCCAACGGCGTGCATGATTCCCCTTTAGTTAGGAAAAAAAAAAAACCACAGCGTTAATGGCGTGCATGATTCCCCTCTAGTTAGAATGGATCCCTATGGAAATGTTACTGCTAATACATATATTGACTTATAATTCCATATTTTTTCTATAATATTGATATAAAATGTTAATGACCGTAATAATCAATGATTTAACCTTTCGTTTTAAAGATCTTTTGTTTACCATATATTTTTAAACATTATTGAGAATAAAATTGGAAAGTGGATGAACCTTTCGTTTTAAAGATCTTTTGTTTACCATATATTTTTAAACATAATTGAGAATAAAGTTGAAAAGAGAATGAGATAGATCATTAACTGGCAGACTAAAGGTGAAAGTATAGTTTTGATTTGATAAGTTGATTTATTAATGAAAATTTAAGGAGTAATTTGAAAGTATTTATTAGAAAGGTGGGATGAAACTCTCAATGGTTTATATTCCATGTCAAAAATGTGACATAAAATCTCTTTACCAAGTAAGGTCGACCATCGATTCCTCTACCCTTTCATATCTTTTGCAATGTCCTTATCATTTTCATAGTAAACACAACACTTTTTTTTTGTGAATATTATTTGTTCGTATTTTAATTAGAATGCGTTTAGCTTGGAAGGTTTCTGAGCTCCACTCCTTCCAAACATACACTTACATCAGTCGTATGATTGCCAAGAGGAGAGAGATTCGGCATGGTTTTGCCGAGTTAACGGGGCAGTGTTCTCCTCCTTACCAAACTTCATGTCACTCTCTAACTCATCCTTAGGAAGTTCAATCTTCTTTCCACTCCGTTTAGCCTAATCCAAGTATTTCATTTTTCATGAATTGTTATTGACAGTAATTTTAAATAATTTAGTAATTATGTTGATTTATAAGATTATCTTTCTTACACGATGTAAACATACTTTAAAGAATTATGTTATAATATATATTTTTGTATTCAATTTGTAATCTTTATAACCATTTCTTTCTTTTATATAGAAAAAAATGGCAATCAATTAAAGATTGTATGGGAACGTTAAATATTGTTTTTCTTATACCAAGAAAATTCAAATTAACATTTCTTTAAAAGGAGTTTCATCTTTCATGTTTCACAGTTAAAATATAGTCAATAAGTAACCAAAACAACATTGTAAAGTTGTAAGGAATGATAGAACGAGCATGCTACGGTTCGGTGTGGTGGCGGAAACCTTACCGCAAACCATAAATACGGTTAATGTATTCTCAAAACCGATTTGTGCGATTATTTTGGAAGCGGTTATGTAGTTATTTTTGTGGTGCGGTTTTTTTTATTTGTATTTGCGATATTAACCGCATCGATTTGGTATGGTTTTTTAGTGCGGTTTTTAACCACAATTAACAATTTATGATTTTGCATGACTCGTTTGAACAATTAAGAGTTTTTTTAAATGAACACAAACACTTTGTGGTAATGATTCTAATCCAAAACAGACCAAAAACTAGTTTTTTTTTCATTGAAGAGTCACCACCTCATGGTAAAATTTACCTCCTTGTGATAAACTGGTAGATTCAAAAAAAAAAAAAAAAAAAAAAAAAAAAAAAAAAAAAAACGAATTTTCTTGCAAATTGCATTAAGTATCAAGAAACAAACATTGGCTCTGATACCACTGATTAGTTTTGAGCATTCTAACACTCATATGGTGTACATGCAACCCTAGAAACCTTGGATCTATGTTTTATCTATGATACATGCAAAATTTATTTTTCAAGGTTCTTAACCTATCTAGCATACAAGGGAACTTTTAATCATAAAAGATAGTAACAAACATACCTTGTAGTGATTTGGATTCTTTGAAAACCTTGTGAGCCTAGCACCCCAAGTTAGATGCTTCAAATGTCTCACACAACACCAAATGAACTTAGAATAAACCTTGAGAGAAATGCCATACACTTAGAATCGGCTATGCCCTCTATCTTGCATCTAGTAACCGATTTTGGTGACCTTCATATCCTTTATATAGTGTGTTACAATTAGGGTTACACCATGTAAACCCTAATGTGACATGACTCATCATTTCCATGACCCATGGGTTTGTAACTCTCATGGAGCATCCTATGGACCTTAGCCCTACTTGATAATCCATGGAGCATCTAGTCCACTATACAAGTATGGATGATTTACACAATCAACCTATATATTTTGTTAGTCTCCTTTTGATCACTTAATTAATTCTAGATTAATTCTTGATCAATACTAATTAGATAATATTATTATTAATATATTAGAACTTATATTTATAATATATTAATAAACCATAAGTGCTATTTCTCTCATTTTAGTATCCAAATGCATGATGTCATGCAACCCAAATAGACCATGCTGATCGGGTCAAGTACATCCCGGAATAGTTATGAACTTAGACACCTAATCCAACAATTGTGCCACTAAACCCACTGAA